GAGGAAATTCAATTAGACCGCATCTAGAGCGCGAGAAGCTAAGATTCATCAATGGGAGCTGGGATTACTCTTCACACAACTATCAGTCAGAAGGTCAGTATGTGGCCGTCACCAGGGACTTTCTATTTTTCTATTGACTTCCCATTGAATACAGCTGAAATAAAGTGTCACTCTCCGGTGCGCTGAATCTTATGGATAATTGCTTCCATCACCTGTATAGACAGCTAGTGGCAATAATGATGTTTATCATTAGTGTTGAATTAGAGAAGTAAATACGCATTTAAAACACATTAGTGTTTTGAACTGTGTTGAATAATGTAATGTTTACCATGTTGCTTGACAAACATATCACTCTCTTACAATGCATTACGCTTTTTTCATTACCCGTTATCACTTCTGGATGTCTGAGCCCTGAAACAGCGGCAAAAGCTAGAGAGGTAAACAAACACATGAATAATCAGAGAAATTTGAAAACGTCATTAAAACACTGAAAGAATTTGGAGCTGTGTGCCGACACACTGTAATTTAGAACAAATTAAATTATATTAAACTAATAAAAACATTTAATTAAATAAAAAAAAACCCACTCGGCCTGGCTGTATTGTGTGTGTATGTAATGGTGTTCGTCGTCCCTAGACCTGTTTTTGTTTTGCCTTGTCGGCCTATCTGTTATAATAAAGAAGTTTTCACCTGCATTTGGACCCAGAACCTTTGTTTACACGGTGTGCTTTCCTGACCGTCCCGTGACACTACCAACCCATGAAAACCAGCTGGCATCACACTATCTTTTGGGTTTATATCTCTTAAATATGCTGACTAGCAGACAGGCGTTTGACAACACTGCAAAATAAGAGTTTTATTAACCAAATGACAACTAAAACAACTAAACGAGTCTCCTGTGGCCACTTGTGATCTGATTTTTTTGAAGGGAGTGTTCTGTGACTATACACATCACTTAACTCATCAGAATGACAAAGCAAAATACATTTTTAAATAAGAAACAAAAGTTGGTATACAGTAACAACCAAACTTTTTGGCTTACGAAGAAATTAATCATGAGTGTACAGTATTTGTACGTAGTCATTCATTACAATCATTACTCGAGGCTTCAGTGCCACATGACCCTTCAGAAAATATCCTAATATGCTGATTTACTGCTCAATTATTAATAATGTTTCTACATATTTTGCTGATAATATTTTTGTGGAAACCATGATACATTTTTTTCAGGATTCTTTGATGAATAGAAAGTTTAAAAGAACAGCATTTATTTGAAATAGATTTTTTGAGCAATTTAATGCACCTTTGTGAATAAAATATTAATTTATTAAAAATACTTTTTTTGTGAAATATATTATTTAAAATATATTACACAAAATGTTATGCTGAAAAAATCGTTTTGAACATTGATAACAATAAGAAAAATGTCATGCAAATAGTAAAGTAGTAGAAGTGACACTGAGCACTGGAGTAATGGCTGCTGAAGATTCAGCTTTTCCATCACAGGAATACATTTAATTTACAATATATATAAATATAAAAAACGTCTCGGTTACGTATGGTAACCCTCGTTCCCTGAAGGAGGGAACAGAGACGTCACGTCGGATGACCGACGAAATTGGGATCTCGCTTAGAGGGACCAATCTACTTTGAGTGTAAACTAAACGAGCCAATGCACATTGGCATGCGATTATTGCATCCAGCTGCTGCTGATCACAGCGTGAGTATAAGTAGGCAGCAGATGCAGCGCATATTCAGGTTTTCGCCTATAGCCTGGTCTGAGGTCCTGAAGCTTTGCGTCCGGTCAACGTAGCCCCTTAAGGCTCGGACGGGACAGAGCAAAGCCAGGGCTGGGTCTGCCTCCTCCGAGGGCAGCGCTTGGAGGTTCACCACCTGATCCCTGAAGGGAGTAGCGGGAACCTTGGGCACATAGCCGGACCGGGGCCTCAGGGTCACCTGGGAATCAGCCGGCCCGAACTCTAGGCACGAATCGTTGACCGAAAATGCATGCAGGTCCCCTACCCTCTTGATGGAGACCAATGCTAGCAGGAGCAAAGTCTTCATTGAAAGGAACTTCAGCTCAACCGCCTGCAAAAAGGCTCAAATGGGCCCTGCTGTAGTTGCGCTGCGTGAGGCAAATGGTGGTCACAACAGATACTGACTGGTTTTCGGACCCCCCCGGGCTTGGGCATCCCCGGAAGGGAATTCCTCACCGTGACCATAAGACCAGTCTTCCCACCGCCAGAAAAAGGACGCCCACGGCTGCCACCAGAGGGATCCCCAGATCTAGGCAGTGGCACGGGCACTCCGCCCCCTTGCATACCAGCGCGGACCACCCCGAGAACGTGTCCCGAGCCCTCAAGGTTAATCGTGCAACCTTGAGGGCTCGGGACACGGTGAAAGTCTTCACTCGAGCCCTACCCTTACGGCGGCCCGGGAAAGCATAGCCATTATTTCTGGATCCGATTCAGGCATTGTTACGGTCCCGGAGGGGAGCAGCGCAGCCGAATCATTCTCTCCAGAAAGGTCTGGCTCACCCTACGATGCAGCAATCTACATCTGGTCGTTGGGAGGAGCGCCAAAGGATACGGCTTGTACGCTCCTTGTAGAGGGCCCAGCACGTTCCATTGGCAGCTCAACTGGCTGCGCAGTGCCTCAGACCGTCCGCGCTACTGCCTGAAGTAGCCCCCCCTGGCTGCCCGATGGGATCCGCGACTTTGGAGAGTGGTTCTCTTCACGGATGAATACTGGTTTTCACTGTACAGGGAAGATGGCAGACAGCGTGTATGGTGTAGTGTGGGTGAGCGGTTTGCTGGTGTCAACATTGTGGATCGAGTGGCCCATGGTGGCGGTGGGGTTATGGTATGGGCAGGCGTATGTTATGGACAACGAACACAGGTGCATTTTATTGATGGCATTTTGAATGCACAGCGATACCGTAACGAGATCCTGAAGGGGGTAGTGCAGCCTGATGTGTGCAACCCACTCGACACGGGAAACCACCACCTCTGAAGCGCCGTCCGCCAACACGAAGAGCTCTCCAAGTGCGCGCTGAACTCGTTCAGTCTTCTTCTCTCAGTAGAGTAGTCAGGAGCAGAACGATGTGATCGCTCCAAAGCGAAAAGCTGAATATGCGGTGCATCTGCTGCCTACTTATACTCACGCTGTGATCAGCAGCAGCTGGATGCAATAATCGCATGCCAATGTGCATTGGCTCATTTAGTTTACACTCGAAGTAGATTGGTCCCTCTAAGCGAGATCCCAATTTCGTTGGTCATCCGACGTGACGTCGAGAGTGACCGACTGAAAGGGAACAGTTATTTTAAATTGTAATAATATTTCACAATATTACTTTTTTTTTTCAAATAAATGCAGCCTTGGTGAGCTTAAGAGACCAAGAGGGATGTCAATACCAGATGTAAACGTGCTGAAAACGGTTTTTATATAACATGATTGATGAACAAAGGATATATCTAAAATCATCAGTCTTTAGGGGACATAAATTCAGCAGCACACTCACTGACTGTCACAGATTTCCCAGCCGCTTTCCTGAATATCATGTGGCAATCTAGACCTACTCCAAATCCATTCAGAAACCATGTCCTGTCCCAAACTACCTCCTCTGTCATGTGATTGGACCTCAAGTTGACAAAGAAGAGCCCTATGTTTTGATATTTGTTTGAGTGCTAAGTGAGTTTATACTGATTCATTCCTAAGGGATACACAAAGCACAAACTGTCATCCACCCGGTTTCTCTGCCTATCAAAAATCTTCATGGACTATTAAGCTGTCACATCTCTTCACTCCTCTCCCAGCGGCAGATCTATTTATAAAGCAACGTGAGCTGAACAGGTGTTGATCTGCATAAAAAATAATCTTACTTGAATAACAGCAAATGTCTTTGTGGATTGTTTATGTTTGTTAAGGCTTGAGTGACAAGCAGAACTAGTCACAGAATCACTTTTTTTCCTCTTTTTTTTTTGCATATCGGAGATGTATTGACACCCATCACACAATGCTGTTTTACAGTATATCTGCACATGAAATGTGAGCAAAAATTCCAATCTCTAACTATCTTTGTAATGATGGGTATTGGGGGTAGATGGTATACTAGTTAAGGACAGAAAGACAGTAGAACTGTTTCCAACCATTGTGTCTATCATGATGCAAAATGCTGCTATAGTGCTGGTGGGGAATGAGAATTACAATCAGAGATGGAGAAAGAAGGTGGAGCCGCAACAGATATCAATCAAATTAGTAGCTGTTGCCCTTAGTTACAGCTGTAGCACTCATTCTCCTTTGTGAAATATGGAGGAAACCAACTGGACTGAGTGAAATTAAATATGAAATAACAGCGCATTTATCTACACTGAACAAAATTGTAAACGCAACACTTTTGTTTTTGCCCCCATTTTTCATGAGCTGAACTCAAAAATCTAAGACTTTGTCTATGTACACAAAAGGCCTATCATTTTGTTCAGTGTAGTTGACAAAAACGTTCCCATATGCCACTGAAGAGTATGTCCAAACATGAAATTAAACAAAGAAATTCATGATAAAGAGGTTTGCTTAAGAATCAAAGTAGATGATTAAATTTAAAATTTAAATTGAAAAAATATTAACTAATATATTATATAATATATTAACTAATATATATGAATATTATATTAAATAATATCCTGAATGCTAGATTTAAATCACTGTTGTTTTAAACAATTATAATATAATTTTAATAAAGTAGTTGATTTGTTGATTTTAAATAAAACTGAATAAAACTGTTTGACTTAAATATGGATCCACTTTAAAGTGTAAAATGCAATGGCAAATCCTTCTTTCACAAATTATTGTGCTTCTGTGCATCTTACAGTACACGACAAGCATCCATGACATGTGCCACTGGAAATCTCCCAATGTATGAATATTTCCAACACCGGCCCTGAGGACACCACTTCCCATGTTCTATGCCATTCTGTGGACATTTTCACAATCCTGAAATACATTTCCTTTTTTCACTCCCATCACTGCCATTTTAATTGTGAAGTAAACCGCTCTCCGGGGCTCTTCACAGCCACTCTATGGTGTCAATCTTCATTTCCTTCCACAAAAAGCAACACATCTTAATGGTACAGTATTGATAATCCATTGGTCTCCTAGTGCACAGTGAGAAAAATAAATGCTTGAATCACTACCACAGGCATGTTGTTAGTCTAGATTGCATTCTGTGCAACAACAAGGGCATAGCTCTTGATCAAAAAGTAATTACTTACTAGCTGTAAGCTATGGTCTGAGCTGAAATGGATTGTGGGAGTGCAGGCTGTGTGTACCGAGAGGAGCAGTTTTCATCGTCCGACAGAACTTCTGTGCCACACATTTCCTCTAAATGCAGAAGATTTGGAGCTCACCTGGTCAGTGAATTAAGCCAGCTTGAGGTAGTCAAAACAACCATAATCACACCTGAATAACTCAAAGATCAGAGCAGCCCTCTTTAAACCATTACAACAACACAAGGTTATGTAGAAAATGTGTATGCTAAAAATTCAGTAAATTTTTTTTTGTATTTGCTTTGGAATGGCTCAAATGTGTGTGTGTGTGTGTTTTCAATCAGAGGAAGCATAATTCCCAACAAAAAGCTATTGTAGCTAATTTGATTAAAATTGTTAATGAGAAGTAAAATAAACTATTTTGCACTAAATGAACACAAGGATGGCATTTAAGAACAATAAAAAGGACAATACATGCATCCATTTATTTGATGATCAAAAAGTAATATTGTTAATAATGTTACAATTTAAAATAACTCTTTTAATACATTTCAAAAATGTAATTTCTGTGATGGCAAAGCTGAATTTTCAGCATCATTACTTCAGTGTCACATGATCCTTCAGAAATAATTTTGATATGCTGATTTGCAGCTTCAGAAACATTTCTTATTATTAGCAATGTTGAAAACAGCTGAGCCGCTTAATATTTTTGTGGAAGCTTAAACTTTTATCAGTATTCTTTAACGAACAGATACTTCAACATTTATTTGAAATGGAAATCTTTTGTAAAAATATAAAAGTATTTAGTGTTGTCTTCAACACTAAAACAAAAATATTAATTTATTGCTCTCTCTCTCTCTACACACACACACACACACAGGTTTGTTTGTGTGAAAAGTGGGCTCTCTCCATAGGCGTAATGGTTTTTATACTGTACAGACCGTATATTCTATTGCCCTACACCTAAACCTACCCCTCACAGGAAACTTTGTGCTATTTCAGATTTTCAATACCCTCCATTCTGTGTGATTTATAAGCGTTTTGAAAAGTGGGGACATGGGGTAATGTCCTGAAAAGCCACCTTCTCCTTGTAATACCTATGTCATACCTCTGTCATTATACAAATTTATATCCTCATTTGTCACAAAAATGCACATACACACACACACACACACACACACACACACACACAAACCAGAAAGTATTCCTTAGAAGCACTCATTCCCTGTGCACAGCAAAGCACAGCAGATTAACTAAAACCTGCACACCTTGATTTCCCATAATTATGAAGAAGCCTGCAATCAGAGTTCAAATTTTCAGACTTTGTAAAAAAGCTTTGCCATTTTATTCCGCAATCTACATGAGATACTTTGTAAATGGTTTGTTTGTGGTCCATGGCATGCCATCTGAACCCAAGATTAATTTATACTTGAATCCAATGTTAACAAAAACTGGTACTAACAGACGGATGTTATCTGACTCTCCAGAGAGCCTGTCCTTAAGGAAGCCTGATTTATAGTCAGTGATATTACCTTTTGTTTAGAGTGTTTGTGTGTGCTCAGTTTCTAACAGTCTCTTTATGAAGCATTTGCAGTAATGCAGATCCCCTCACTGGTGCTGACCTGGCCAGGCAGTTAATGAGTCTGTCTGCTCGCTGGATTGCTGGAGCTGTTGACCTTGCCATCTGCTCCTGATGCCTCAACGCCAAACACTTTCCGTCTTAGCCGTTCAGACAGGATGAAATACAATTCCCATTAAAGGGAAAGTTGCTAATAATGCCTTATCAATTAGCCCCATTGCTACTGATTGATGTCTAGCAGGTGGCACGAGACGATTATGTTCATTTACACTGACTGTCCTCGCCTCCTACTCATTCTTTTGATGCTCATTAAAGCCCAGGCTGTAGAGACATCAGCTACTAACTAAATCAGGCCTCTAACAACCCATTAAAGATTGCTTCATCGCTGTTGAGTCTAATCTTTGTGTTTCTACATTGTTAGCAAGATATTCTCAGATGTTAATCTTCATTTGTAGACTTTATGATATTTGCTGTTAAAGTTGCTGTATAAAACAAAATAATATATGCATGCACACAGACATGGTACTGCTCAAAAGTTTGTTCAATTTTTTTAAATGTTTTTTTTTTCATGTTGTTGAAAGAAGTCTTTTTTTCTCTCTCTTCAAATCACCATGCAGCCCAGACTGAACTCCTCCATGGTCATGTTTATCAGCTCTGCTCAGCTCAGCTCTGTTTAACGAATAAATAATACGATATTATTTAATATCTTCACATCAAGTGTATAAGCACTTTTTCCAGGTAGTTTCAACCATGAAGAAAAAAAACACACACACACACACAATGAATAATAATGATTTCTCTGAATGCAACCCTGTGATTGCTTTTCTTTCTGTTATTCAGTAAATGTAGGACCAGGAGGCCTGAGGTTTTGAGAAAAATCTTAACATGTCAAAGAATGGTTTCAATTAATCAAAGACATTAGAGTCTGCATGAACTTAATTACACTGTTCTGAGAGTATGTGGACAGGGTGGCAATAACTCTCATGGGTTTCTGAAAATTGCCCATAATTCAATTCACCTCACTCTTCTCTCCCACGGGCTAAACTAAGGCTCTGTTTTTTATACATTCCCCCTATAATTCAAATGGTAAAAGGGTCACTGAAATTCTCCTTTTCTACCTGAGATCTTTGGAATTGCCAGACATCTGTCTCATCAATTAAAAGTGATTGTGCTAATCATTGTTTGTCTGTAAGAACCCAGGAGCTTTAACCGAGAACAGTGAAAACAAGCTCAAAATGTTAGCTTGGCAAAAAATCATTATAATTTGGTAATTTAACAAAATATATGAAGGGACTCTGATCCAAAGGAACTTAATTTACTTAAACAAATCCACCTTCATTAGATTAAGAAAATATGAACAAAAATCCATGCTGCAAAACTATAATGAATTAATTCAAATTCTATTAAAAATCTCATATAATCAAAACCAAAATCTCTAAGAAGTCAAGGAGGCTCATGGGAAAAAAAAATATTTAATGCATGTATACTAGTCAGTGAGGTGTGTTTTCCCAAATAACTATCTTTAAAGAGACACATATTTCAGATTTTTTGACAATTACTCTCAAAGTGTTGCCACAAATGACCATATAAGTGGGAAATGAGATGTTGTCAGGTATGACAGATTGTATGAGATAAAAGTGATCATGTTCAAAAGAATATTCATCTCCTATGAAAGCCTCTTGGAGGCAACAAATCAAATATAATCGGACAATCCAAAGCGTTTTCAATCTTTCCTGCCTATGTCTGACACTGCAGTTAGTTAAACGAGAATATTACCGTAATGGATCAGTCGGCATCCGGGTCTGGTCCATGCAAATCCACTGTCATCACTGTTTTTTCTTTTTGAATGGATATGTCTTCATCTCTCCCCTGCCTTAGCTTAGTTTCCTCAGACGAGAGGATGAGAAACCTGTGTGTGTGTGTGTGTGTGTGTGTGTGTGTGTGTGTGTGTGTTAAAGCAGAAGGGGAGAAGCTTTGAACTGGCCAGAGAAAACCAATTGAGTTAAGTTACTGGAGACAAGTAATGAGAACCAATAGACTCCCAGGAAAGAATCGATAGTGGACACTGATACATTGGAGAGGAAGGACAGATCGCAACATTATTCTTCGTTCAAGTAAATGCTGCAGATATAAAGGAGACTTGCACCAAGCAGACAGATACCAAATAGTTGTCGAAAACTTGATAGTTGCAAACTAAAACATCCTTCAATGAGATCAAAATGCTTCAAGGTACCAGTGACTGAAACTCTGATAAGAAAAAAAGGACTGAGCGGTCTGAGTCTTAATGGTGAGGGCAGAAACATGATGAAGGCTGTGACATTTTAAAGTATTGATATATAACATATTGCTATTGTGGGGGGAATTTCATTAAGAAATCTACAAATAATTTTTCACCCCAAAATTAAAAAGACAAATGCACATCTTTTTTTCTTTTTTTTATGGAATAAAACACACTTTCCACTCTAATGTGAAACAATCTCATTCTCATTACTGTAATCCAGTAATAGTAAAATGATCCTGTCTGGACACAATTTCTTATTTAATCAGCATAAATTTAATTCTGTACTACAAATACTACCACGATGGGCAAATATTTTAAGCAGCCTTAAAACGTACATTAAAACATATATTAAAGAGCAGGTCATATGGTATTTTAAAGTGTCCTAATATTGTGTTGGAGTCCTCTACAACAGGTTTAAATGCATCTAAGGTCAGAAAACATTGTAATTTTCTCAGAATATACATTTAATATTAGAGTCATTTGCCAATGATTTCGTAACTATTTGTTCCAAGCAAGTTCGGCGCAAACCCCTCCCTTCCATAAGCCTACTCTGCTCTGATTGGTCAGCTGGCCAAGCCTGTTGTGATTGGCACAGAGAGGAGTCCTTGAGCAAGTTAGCGAGCGCTACCATTGACAAAGCACCTTTACATAAAACAATAATATAGTGCTCCAATCCGTTCTTATAATAATGACATAAAATACAAAAACACTTCTGCAAATGCTAAAGTTTAGCTGCTAAACTGTGAACACTTAAAACAAGAATGCTGGATACGTTAGCCGAGTGTTAACGTGACTAACTGATGAAACAAGTTACAGTTTGTAAACCAAAACATGTCTACTGTAATGTTTGAAGAATGACAGACAAAAGACGCTCTGTTTTAACTTTTTATCAGAACGCAGAACAGCTGTATCACAGGCGCAGCAGCCTAACTAACTCGCTCATCTCTCCCGCATTAACCCTATAACTGCCGGTGCAGCAAAATAAACAGCAATTTCACAATGATTATAAAGTCTGTGCGCTACACTATATTCTTTATTATTAAACGAAGTAATCAGAACAACGTCAGTCTACATTAATCAACATATTCTTAGGAAATAGTGGGTTCACAGCGAATTATCAGAACTACTTCAGTAAGACAGTAATATCATGCTTTACCTGGAAACCTAAAGCTGCACTAGGTATACATCACATATTAGCACAAAAACTTGATATTTTGAGCACTCAATTGAAAATGTACACATAACTTATCAATCGTACTTACAGGTTGTGGTTCGGAGAGCTTGTTAGTACAAATTAAGGAGATAGAAGAAGCCAACGAAGATAAAAGCCAAGATTAGAGAAGCAGTCCTTGGTATATTCACTTTTTTGATTAACAACTTTGCAGATTGTTTTCATTTAAGGATAGCTACGTTATAAACTGCAAAAGAGGTATTTTTCAAAAACCCACATGACCTGCTCTTTAAAAATAGTGTAAAAATTAAGGAAAAAAAAAATACAAGAAAAATAGAGAATGTACAACTGGATGAAAATACAGATACCCAGTACAGAAAATGGTGTTATTTTACTATTATGTAAACACAAATAATGTTTTTATGAATATTTTGAATTAGCTTTTATTTTTATACAATTTCTATACTGTTTTATCCTATTACTATTTAAGGTTAATTTATAATTTTTTTTGTTTCAGGTTTAGTTTTTAGTTATTTTATTTCCAGTTAGAAATTTTTGTGCTTCAACTTAAACCAAACAAAAGTAACTGAAAGTTTTTCATAATGTTTTTAATTTTTTGATTTATTATAATGAAATGTTTTAATAGATTTAGTTAATGATAATAACCCTGGCAGCAAATGTGAATAATTTTTGTTGTAGCATTAACTTAATTGTAAATCGCTTTGCATAAAAGCATCAGCTACATATAAAATGTAAATTCCATGATGACTAAGGACAAAAACATATTCAGCACAATGACACAAAGACACAGTATCCATACAACAATGATTTCCTTTGCACCTGAGCTGGCAAGACAAGTGGAACTACTTTGTACTCTCCGCTTCAATGAGCTGACATATGTTTGAGTTGTTTTACTATTCAAAAGGAAAAGTCAGAAGTCTAGTTTACTTCCCAGCACTAACTTTGAGCCAGACTTTCTGAAACTACACAGGAGATGATGCCTTCTGCTGCTCGCCTTTCAAAACACTGCTGACAGCACAATGTGGAAGTTGGGAGAGATCAATGTGGGTGCCTTCGGAAACCTATACTATTGGACATCTGTTTGTCCTTCATCTCTGGCCAAACACTGGCCATTCATCAGCAACACAGAGGCAAGAGGAATGGGGTGTCATGTTGAGACCTTGTACTGTCTCACTGTTGACAGTAGATTGTATTCAAACAGAGCGGAAGATACAGAATTTCTTGTTAGCTTCTGCTAACACACTGCGAAATAATAAAATAATGTTTTCTTAATCAGTATTTTCCAGTAAAAAAATCTAAACATCCAACAACATGAATTTACTTGAGGCAACATAGTGACAGTCACTGAAACAATGCAACTCTTCTACTAACACACTACAATATGTGTGTGTCTGTGTGTGTGTGTATGTATGTGTATGATGTTTTCTTAATTAGTACATTTTAAAAAGCATAAAATATCTAAACAACATGAATTTACTTGAGGCAAAATAGAGTGACAGTTACTGAATCAATGTAATGCTCAAGTGAACAAACTGCTAAATTTATATAAAAAAATGTTTTCTTAATTAGTATTTTCCATTACCTTTCCTTTTTTTTTAAAGAATATATTCAGAATCAAATTTGTCTCACCCACTCAGTGATTTTTCTTTTTTAGTTTAAGCAACACCCCCCCGCCAAAAAAAAAAACTATTAATTCACTTTGTTTTAATGATATTTACTTAATACATTAACATCCTGTGATCTTGTAAACATGGTTTCCAGGTGGCAAAACATATACTATGTAAGTGATGTACTCCTGGCTCAGGTGACAGTCAAACAGAATAGCCGACTTAATATCGGTGAATGAAGAATGTGCGTGTGCAATCACAATGCGACTCACAGCTAAATAAATAGACACAATGTACTGTCAGCCAAAAGAAACTGAATGTTAATAGTCTAGTGTGTGCATGTGTTATAGACAGATGACAGGAGTTTATGCCTGTCTGCTCTAATACCTAGCAGCATATCCTCCATCTTAAGAAATGCGACATTCCCCTGAAAATTGTTGCAGATGCTCCGCAGCATGTCATCCGCACGTCAGCTCTCCCAATCAGCTGTCATGCTGTGAACTGGAGGTTTTAAGTTACAGATCACTTCTGAATCCTAGCACACGCGTGACGTGAATCCCTATGCCCTATGCTGCCTCTGCCAAGGAGCGTCAAACAAACACATAAACATCCGCTTGCTGAGTGCTGAAGAGCCATCCCAGCCTCCACCTCCTGTGAGAACGAGGGGAAGACAGCGAACGGGAGACACAGAAAACCCTTTAGGAAAATCTTTTATTCTACCGATGCTAGGAACAATATGATTGTAGAAAGCCGAGCTGAGTACTTGTCAGCAGATCTCAATCAACGAGATGGAGGGAAATAACAGAAAACACAGCATGTCCACATAAGAACAAGTACAGCTGAACAAATCAGCTACAGTGCTGGCTACATCTCTTAAACTGCTCTCAGAGGGGAGAGTGATTAAACCTCTGAGGAACTGCAACATGAAGCTGTCTTTAAAACAAGAAACAAATCGCAAACTGAAGAGAAACCATGCAGAACTTGTTTGGGGGAACTGAAACTTCAACTTAAATGCTGATGTTTTAAAATCATTTTAAAAAACAGATAGTTCCAGCTTTAAAATCTTATTGAGCAACCTTTGAAGACATAAAACCAAGTATTTTGGGACATGCTGCAGTGACTTATTGTTTTCATAAAATAGCAGCAAAGGCAATATGAAAAACAAATGTATATTAATAATAATAAACAATTATTCTGCCAAGTAATAAGTCATTGGACCAACCGCAGGGGCTGTTTATAGTTGCCAAGAAACACAGTATCGTTGAACATTAATATAAGTTGTTTCAATCCACTCTCTAGTACAATAGAATATATGTATACTGCCCAGGGAGCCAGTCATTTTTCTCTCCCTAGAAAACAGCAGTGAGCACCGACTGTTCACACCAAATGCCCTGACAGTGTACTAAAAATGCCTTCCTCAATGCCTGATTAAAATGTAGCATGTTATCTTTTTCATAATTAAGAAAAGCTAATCAAAGGAGCTTTTCTTAACCCATTAGCCCCATGCTAAGCTATTAGCAATAACCGAATGCTACTTAAAAGGTTTCTGCATATGATTCTGCAGAGTATGCGATCTTGCTCCAACAACGTTCAAGTTGAGAGAAAGCAACTCCAACTGCACTGCATGCAGCTTGAACATGTCCTCACATGTGCTAACAGGTAGATAAACATCTGATATATTTTCCATTACAGCCTAAATTATAGAGTAAATGATACGTGACAATAAGTGATATAAAGAGATGTAAAAAAAACTGGTGGCAACCAAATTAGAGAGCTAGCAACAGCTGTTTGAAATCTAATTACAACGACAACAACATCAAATGTTCAAATGAATGGCAATGTTACAATTGAATTAACAGCCAAAATATATTAAGCAGCTAAAATAAACAGAAAAAGAGATTAATTAAAGAATTTAAAATGAAACCTAAAATGATAAATGTGTGCTATGGGGGTCATAGCCTGTATATTAGCGCAAGACAGCCTCATTTCAGACTTTTGATTTTAGCTTTTTTTTTTTTTTTTTTTTTTTTTTACAATACATTAACTAAAAGCGAAAATGATTCAGAATATATGGTGTCATTCACCAAACATGTCAAACAAGCATTCGGTAATTCTGATAATGGTCCGATACCTTTGCGTTGTTTGATTTACTCTATTCAAATATTACCTTTCATTTTGTGGAGCCGCTCGACTTCGCACAGTTTCTCCTGTCAAATATAAGATCATTTCTGCAGTCATTGCACGTGATAAGATGCCTAATATGTCAGTAAAGAACATCTGGCTTTCAATCTGTTATCATTTATCATGGGTCACAAACTCTTCATTAGGTTACAATACATTATTCAAGGCCAATATTGTTCATTAAGCTATTCATACGGGAACATCTGACCCTATATTGCCCCTGTAGAGATTATGACGTCATCGTATACCAATGTTTAGCCTAATAACTACAAATTAGTTTGCCAAGTTTACACAATGAACTTTGACAATAATGTTGCTTGGCAACCATGAAGAGCCTATGGTTAAGCTAAATGATTACTATTCATAAATAGAACAGAACATTAGACTTATATAACACTGCTGTTCCTGCAGTTTTATCAAAGCTTTCAATATGCATAGCAACATCTTGTAACTATGGTAAATTCACTGTAAAGCAAAGGATTTTGGCTTTATTATTAAATTATATTATTAATAGATTACAAAACTGACATTTGTTGCAGATTAATTACTAATATTGCTCTGCTACAAAAACCAAGAAACATCCAAATGTATCCAGCCCTTCATGATACACAGTACACTAATGCAACAGCCCAATCCCTGAGAACAAAGCAAGCCCTGTTCATGATATGGGCAGAAGACATTTTGAAAATTGCTTTGAAGGAAGTCCTTGTGCTATACTACAGAAGAAGAAAGAGCATCACATCTGGAAAGCATCCTTTATAGGCTCTCCTGTTTTCCAGTGTCATTTTATAAATGCTGTGGGTCAGCCGGCTTTATTGTCAACTTCAGAGAGAGTGTTGAGAGCGTCTACCTGTGGCAGGGTCCACGTCACGCTCGATCAAGTGCTGATCCTGGTGAACCCATTCGCCGTTGCACTTGAAGTAGATCTGAGTGGCAGGGGTTGAGCGGCAGGTGAGGGTCACTGGCTTGTTCTTAACGATATAAACATCATCAGGCTCCAACAGGAAGTGTGGCAGCAGGTCGGAGAAGGCCGCAGGAAGTGGATGCGTTACAGTGGCCGCATGCTCTCCACCTGTGAAAGCAAGTGAGATACAACTTTAGAGACAGGTTGTAGTTGTTCCGATGCCTGAAACCTTTTAGTAGTGCAAAGAGATAATGAGCGTATCTGATTTAATTTCATACTCCGAACCCTGTGAGCGGACAGATTGCTTTTGACACGCACCTGAGTGCAATACTAATCTTGTGTATCCGTATTTGGTAGAACACAGATATTCTGCCAAACACAGCTGACAAAACGTCTCCGCTACAGCAGGTCTGGGAGATCATGCTAATGACATGCTGTTAGAAGTGCTTGCTTTTGCCTGAGTGGCATGGGATTGTATTTCAAGACAAAGTAGGGTCAGTGATGCCAAACGTGTGCATGTGCATTATGACACGTGCAGGGTTAACCCATGAATATTAATTAGAGTGTACTGACTTTGCTAGGTTTGATAAATATTGTAGGCAACTCATGTCATAATGAGAAACTGATCTAAAATATAATTTCAATTACTGAACATTAAATTACGAGAAATAAATGTATAAAACGTTTAAACAACTTAAGAGTGTCAATACCAAATTCACTGGGATGAATACACATAAATGAGACTCTAATCCAATGCAGTAACATTGCTTCTGTTTGCTTTCACCTTTTTCATCAATAACATTTTTAGTGTGTAAAGATTCATCACATTTAATCATATTTTTACACCTGGAGTCTCTGAGACCCCAAATAACTTTTATTTTTTAAATGAAGGACATGATGAAATAGTTTATAGTTTACACACACACACACACACACACACACACACACACACACACACACACACACACACACACACACACACACACACACACACACACACATATAGGTATGTTCCCAACAGAGAACAATTACAATCATTGAGATATTGGCTATTTACATGACTCTTGTGACTTAGGAGTTGACTGCCTTTTTTATTATATATTTTGCACACACACACACACACACACACACACACACACACACACACACACACACACACACACACACACACACCCACACACACACACACATATAGCATATAACATTTTAGCATATCAAAAATCATTACATTTAATCATATTTTTACACCTGGACTTACTGGGACCCCAAATAGTTATAATAATTTTTTTTATGAAGGACATATGATTAAATACAGTAGTTTATTATTCTCACAAGAGATATTAAAAAGGCATTGTAGTCTCTCAGGTTTAAATACATATTTAGATCTATAGATTTAAATAATCAGAATTAAATATCAGTCAATTTAAATATCAATCAATTTCAAGACAAAGTTCAGATGATATGGGCTAAAAAAAATAGGTTCAAGAGCCTCTGAATAAGGTCTTATTCTGTCCTGAAAGAGACATATGCTACTATATTCCACCCCACACAGAAAAACAATGTGTGTGTGTAAGAGAGAGTGAGTCCCCTTGTTAACAGGCCGAGTAAAAAGCTTCTGAGTGGCATGGCCTTGTCAGGGTTTGCCTACAGCAGTGCTGAATCCCATCTCTACTCTCTCTGCTGTTAATCACAGCCTTTTAAGATCAGAGCTGATGGACCGCAGGCCATAAATCCCTCTTGCTGAATGACCATGGCACTTCAAAACACGCTCGGCAAGCCCTGTATCCAGGGCTTTAACTCAACTCTTTATTACGGCCGGCCGAATGCAGTGACGTGACTGCCAGCCATTCACTGACTGACAACCACCGGCTGCATTAAACGTGAGACAAACTGGCTCTCTATTCCGACGACCCCCGGTAGCGTGATCAGGTGGGTACGCGTCGCTGTTTATGGATCAAAGATCTGCATGACTTTGTGGGTGGAAATGTTTCTCCCCCGCGTGGATTTATGGAAGGAGCATCGAGGCAGTTGGATTCATAAATGTTTGGAGAGATTCAATGAGAAATCATCATTAATCAGAGCTTAGCCCTGCAACTTGTGGGAGAACGATTCTTTAGCGCAGAGCAGAAACAGAGCGCACCCCTATCAGTAATTTTGTTGCTTCATTTGTTAGCTGCAATGTTTTTCTGGTCTTTGTAATTAAGAATGAATTGCTAATTTATTCTTTTCCGCCCACAGTCCAGAGCAATCAAGCAGCCTCAGCTGGCTGTTTATTCCCTCTTCATACTGGAGGTCCCACACCATTGTACATCATACACACACACACACACACACAACATGTCTGATAGCCTTCAGAACTGAACTCAATTTTTAAAGTGATCACTTTTACCAATTAGTTATTCCCTCTGCATGTTTCTCATTACGGTTTTGTTCTGTTTTTAGACTCAACGGAAACACTTGTTAAGTGCAAATAGCAAACATGACGTCAAAGCCGTGAACCATCACTTGCTTGCATATACCGTAGATTTTCTTCAAGCAAAAACAGAAGGAATTCAATTCCCAACAGCTTCAATTCTGATTTCATCAGAATTTAACAACCTTGGAATGCTTGCACAGATGCTCATCATCAGGAAAACACAATCATGTTTGGTAAAGGGCCAGTTGAGGGTGCGAATGACATTAAATTATATTTGTTATGAAGTTGAGAGTGTATATTTTCACCTGCCATTACAAACATAGGTTGCATTCGGTAACAATATCAATGATAGACTGCTTGGATGCTTTCTCTGAGGATTAATATTGAACAATACATCAAGAAAACATAAGTCGCACAATGTTATAGATTACACATCACAGGAAGTTTTGAGATCCTCAGGATATCACACACTGAAAATTACCTTTAGAAACAAAGTCAGTATATTATTTACACACTGAGCCAAATGTGCTGTAAGTGATTTCAGACGTTCAACCATTTTTACTAACTTCAAACAACAGTGTTATTTTAGTATTATTTATGTACTATTATAGTATTTATTAATATTTTAAATTAGCTTTTATTTGTATATATTATTAGTAATGTCCTATTATCATTGTCAATTAAAAAATTGACATTAAATTTAATTTAAAAAAACGTTTTAGTATTAATTTTAGCACTTCAACAAACTTATTTTATTTCAGTTAGCTACCAACCCAACATTTCAAATTTTATTTTTGTTCATTTTTGTTTTCATGCTCTCACATTATTTCATTTATTTTTTTTTATATTTAGGCTTTCTAACGAAAACTATTTGTAATTGGTTTATATATGTGATATTTAAACGTAATTTTGTATGTGTGTGTGTGTGTGTGTGTGTGTGTGTGTGTGTGTGTGTGTGCGTGTGTTATATTTATTTTTATTATATGTTTTATATTTAGCTTTATTCAGTTAACTGTGTGTGTGTGTTTAATATATTTTTAATATTTATTATATATATGAAATCAGGTTGGTTGACATGTCTACACAAACTTCTGTACAGAACATTTAACAAACATACACACAGACACATCAAAACAAAAATCACTTACAGAATCTTTAAACAATTATACACTTTGTAGAAAGGAGGTCTCACAATGTCACATAATTAAGTTCATTTGTGATATTCACAAACTAATTATCAATGGCTAGAAGACAGGCTGTTTATGACATTTTCTATCACAACGGGCCAGTGGCACAGAGCGCAAAAAGCACATCTCTTCTAATGAAACAACAAGGCTAACGCTGACATTTCCAGCGCCTTCCTCATCTCACCCTGCAGTAAACCACAACCCGGGTCACACAGGTAACATTAGCCAAAGTAATAAACGTCAAGCCTCCACACGAAGACATTACCCAGCCTCGCCAGGCCTGGTGCAACACGTCATAATAATGCTGCTCTGCTCATTTCCTTTTGTCATTTTACATGGTGTGCTGAGTTGCTAATTCATCAGGGTGAAATACACTGAGAAGCAAAGCTATGGCTATTGAACCTCCACTAATGTATTGTGTACGTGTTAAACTCTTAATAAAAACTAAATGTTCTGTGTCCAATGAAGGACATACATCACTTTCCAGTTTCACCCCCCCTCTGTTACATTACATTTTGTGCTACGACAGACAAGTAATTTATCTTACAGGGACATTCATTTATCAAAAACATGCTCAAATGAATCGGGAATTCAAGCCGTTCTGTTGCAAGCAGAGAATGGTGCAATCAAGGCAATTATTGCAGGTCAAAATGGCTTTCTTTGTGCTGATGTAAGACCGAGCGCCCACGGGATGTGGTCCATCTAATGAGCCTTAATTTGGCACAGTGATGATGGCCATTAGCTCCTCATGGTGACCTTTTCTACAACATAAACCAGCAGGCAGACCTGGCCGAATCTGTCCAGGTGGGATCTATGTAAGACTGAGGTGAAATATGACAATCATAAATGAGGTTTCAAACTGTTCATGACCGTCTACATCTGTTTTCCTGACCAGTCTCAATGGTTTCAGTCTATGTTGGACGTAATAGGGATGAATTCATTTTTTTCCCTCAGTATTTCAAAGTATTGCAATATGTTATTCTCACTATTGATATCCTCACAGTAAGAGTCCATCTTTTTCCTCATAATTTATTTATTTAGTCACTGACTGCTAACCAAGGCACACTATTCCCATGGTACAATTTTTAGGCTATATTTTTGGCCTTGCTGCCTTTATTATAAGAGGACAGTTCAGAGAAAGACAGGAAACAACTGGACAGAGAGGAATGGGATCGAGAAATGACCATGAGCCGGGACTCAAACTCAGGTTGCGCTATTGCGTCATATGTCAGAATCATATTATTTTTACTGGAATGTGCCAATGCTCAATATATAAATATGTATAAGCCTATTAACTCTAGAAATATGTATCATTTTTGATATGCAATTTCTAAGACCTCTAAATTATCAATACTATCTTTGATAAACTTTACTAATTTATCTTCTTCATGCATTCTGTTGTCTAATTGACAGTTTATACTTTTTCAGCAAGTAAAAGCATATCTGTAAAAATATCCACCCACAGGTTGTGATACACATGTCTTTTTGCTGTGAAATTGTTACTGATTTTTTAAAAGTAAATGTAAGAATAACTTTTATATTTTTAGCAATATTTCAAGATGAAT